AACCCCAAAACCCCCAAAACCCCCAAAACCCCAAAACCCCAAAACCCCAAAACCCCAAAACCCCAAAACCCCAAAACCCCAAACCCCAAAACCCCAAAACCCCAAAACCCCAAAACCCCCAAAAACCGACGCAGGTACTCAATGGCCTCGCTCGGGATGGAGGCGCGGGCCTCGAGGTCCTCCAGCGCCTTGCCAAGTTTGCTTGAAGGTTCATGGTACTTATTAACCAATAGGGTTTAGGGTTTAGGGTTTAGGGTTTAGGGTAATTTAGGGTTTAGGGTTTAGGGTTTAGGGTTTAGGGTTTAGGGTTTAGGGTTTAGGGTTTAGGGTTTAGGGTTTAGGGTACTTATTAACCAGTTGTAAGTGCACTTTAAAACCCACTTATAATCCCCTTACGTGCCCTTATATGGTTACAAGTACAGTTAGAAGCAAAGTTCTACTTGGCTAAGAAGTACCATGAACTTCCAAGTGCTTGGCAGCCCGGTAACCTATTACAATGGGCTAATAAGTACCATAAACCTCCGGGTTTGGGCTTTTAGGGTTTAGGGTTTAGGGTTTAGGGCGCCAGGGGTTCTTTCGCAACTTCATCAGCGCTGCGCTTCAGCTCCTTGGCCACGCGCTGCAGACGAACCCTAAACCCTAAACCCCTAAACCCCTAAACCCCTACACCCCTACACCCTAAACCCCTAAACCCTAAAGCCTAAAGCCTAAAGCCTAAAGCCTAAAGCCTAAACCCTAAACCCTAAACCCTAAACCCCGACCAGGTCGTTCCGGAGCGCACGGATGTTTGTGTCCGCGCCTGGGCCAGAATTTTCAGCGCCGATGCGGCTCTTCAAGGAGCCCGTCAAGGGCCCGAACGGCGGCTGCACTAGGGTGTAGGGTTTAGGGTTTAGGGTTTAGGGTTAGTTGCGTTACGGTCTAGGGCATTTAGTTTCCGGTTGGAACGTGGAGCAGTTTAGAATTCGAGAGGGCCCCATAGTATGATAAGGGTTTCAGGTTATGGGTTTAGGGACCCTTACCCTAAACCCTAAACCCTAAACCCTAAACCCTAAACCCTAAACCCTAAACCCTAAACCCTAAACCCTAAACCCTAAACCCTAAACCCTAAACCCTAAACAAACCCTAAACCCGAACATGCTCTAAGGGTACTATAAGGGTCAGGGCTTAGGGTTTAGGGGGTTCAGGGTTTGAGATTTAGGGTTTCTGGTTTGGTGGTGTCTATTTAAAAGAAGAGCCCAAACAGGGCAACAGAGTGCGACTGGGCTGCTAAGTTCTACACAACTTGGAGGATCGTCCTCTCTAGATGTGGGTAGTTCTCTAAATTAGGGTCCCTTTTTGAGATCCCTTTTAAAGGGTGCCGCCTTATAATGGGTACCTAAAAAGGGACCCTAATTTAGGAAACTACCCATGTACAGGCGGCTGCGACAAGCTTGTCTCTACAAGAGCGCCTTGACCTCGCCCGAAAACCCCTAAGTCCCCGACAAAAACACAAAGCCCAAAACTCCCAACGCTCCAAAACTCCCTGAACTCTACACCCTGAATCCTGAACCCAAAACTCCCTGAACCCAAGCTCGAAGCTCCTAAACCCTGAACCCTGAAACCTCAAACCCCAAACCCTAAACCCTGAAACCTAAGCCCTAAACCCTAAACCCTAAACCCTAAACCCTAAACCCCCAAACCCTCTTCTTGGGCCCCGAGCTCCCGATTCGCGCTCCAAGCTGCCTTGCGTCTCCGGGAAGCTCTGGGGAGTTGTTTCTGCTCGTCAGGCATTAGGGTTTAGGGTCTAGGGCTTAGGGTTAATGTGAACAACCAGCATACTTGCATGCAGGCATACATCATCATACGTGCATGCTCACATGCATGCCTGCATGCTGCGTACGACGCAGAAACCGACAAACATCCCATGAGGAATCTGACTTCTCTGTCATGAGCTGCGACATGTTTTAGGGTGTGGGGTTTAGGGTTTAGGGTTTAGGGTTTAAGGTTTAGGGTTTAGGGTTTAGGGTTTAGGGGTTGGTGTCTAGGTCCGTCAAGGGTTCAGAGATCCCGATAGCAGGCCGCCCAAAAGACGCCAACCTCACCCCCAAAGACCCAGGTTCTGGTTTAGGGAAAGCTCAAGGTGCTTGGGGGTGGGACAAAGTCCGAAGGTGAACCCGGAAACGATATCCACATGAAAGCCGCATCGAATCGCGAAACCCCCTAAACACCCTATGAACCCTGTAAACTTACTCCTCCAGCAACCAAGGAAGACAAAAAGGTTAAACTTCATTACTCCTAGCACAGAAAGGAAACCCAAAAAGCTTAAAGATCAACTATTGGCTAAGTAAGTAAACCGTTCAACCCCAAGTTTTGCGGATTCGGCGTGCCCTGTGGGGCCCCGGCGATCCGCCCGGGCCTCGGAGGGGGCCCTAAAAGCGTAAAACCGTAAGACCGAACCCCTAAACCCTAAACCCTGAACCCTAAACCTTCAACCCTAAACCCTAAACCTTAAACCCTAAACCCTACACCCTACTTACCTAAGCTCCCTGAGCCTTTAAGCAGGCCCAGGAATCCAGGTTTTTGTTTTGATGGCTGGCGGTCTGAGTTTAGGGGGTTACTTTCGGGTTCCCTGGGTTTAGGGTTTAGGGGTGTTAGAGAATAGGTGCTAAGGCTTTAGGGTTTAGGGCCTTAGGGTTTAGGGCTTAGGGGTACATGTAGGACTCCCTAGCTTTAGGTGTCGGGGTTTATGGAAGGAGGAGTTTTGGGGTGTTAAGGTCTACGTAGGGCTATTTCGAAGGGGTTTAGGGTGCCTGCAAGGGTTGAGAGTGTCTGATCGACGGTTCCAGGTTAGGCGGAACGCGGGAGCTTTTTCGTAAATGCAAGCAGCCCCCCTACACCCTATAAACCCCCAGCCCAAAACCGAAAGCCCTAAACCCCTAAGTCCTGAACCCGCTGGTGGGAATCCGGAGTTGCCCTAATCCCCGGACGGGCAAGAGAGACGTGCACTTCCCACCTTGCCGCCCTAAACCCCAGTAAACCCCGAAGACATCCCCCCCAAATACTCACTCATCCCTGATCATCCTACATGCTTGAAGCCTAAGTCCCAAAACCCTATGAGGCTGCACTTTCTGACACGCGAAGACGATGATGACGATGACGCTTTGCCATCGCTGTCCCCCGTCATCTTTCTTAAACACCTACTTTGGAGCAAACCCTGGAAAAAATCTACATTCTGTTTAGGTAGAAGTAGCTATAATAGAAACCCAGAACCGGGATAAGGGTTCTGAAGTATAGTACTCCAAAGCACAGGCTTCTATAGGGTTTAGGTTTGAGGGTTTAGGGTTTAGGGGTAAAGCGCTTGCTTCCCAAAGCTTTGAAGCCAACACTTCACATCTCGCCACGTCATCTCGAAGACTATTGCCCCAGGCCGGAAACGTGCCAAGTCAGCTGCACTGAGACCGCGAAGAGTCTCCTGCCATGCTGCGTCATTCCGATGGACCCTGGCTCTGACAGAATCAGGCTCGCAGTCGCCACCCTCACAAGTCAACAAAGTGAAAGCAGTCGCCGGCGCCCTTGTCGACTTCACCCAGATCCTGATCAGCTACCGCCATCACAGGAAACAGCGAGAAATGTGGAGAGCCAGGAGGTGGGAGTCCCTAAGCCCTCAAATATATATATATATATATATTATACATAGACATATTTTATATATACATATATATATATTACTTTATTGATTTATATATATATATATATATATATAACCTATACCCGGACCTTCTGAGCCAGCTGGTAGTCCACTTGCCATTTGCCGCGCTGCTGCACCGAACTCCTCATGTGTCGTTCATGGAGCTCTGCGGCCTACAGGGCCCTCTAGGGTTTTAGGGTTTAGGGTTTAGGCTTTAGGGTTTACAACACCGAACTGCACCCGGGACTTGGAGACTCGACCAGTCTTCAGGGTTTAGGGTCTTGGGCTTGGGGGCTTCGGCCTGATTCGACAGCAGTACCTGAAGTTTCCTGTTTTGGCGCACTTAAGCCATCGACTCCTTCAGCAAGCGAACGACTTCGCCGTGATGTCTCCCTCTTGCGAAGAACAAAGCTCTGAAGCCAGTGTTGTCGGTCAGCTGTTTGTCGGCGCCGGCCTCTAACAGCAATCGCACGGCTTCGACATGGCCTTGCGCAGATGCTTTCATCAAAGCTGTGCGGCCCCTGTTGTCGGCCAAATTCTTGTCGGCACCTGCCTCCAGAAGCAAGCGCACAACTTCGACATGGTTCTTCCCGGATGCGATCGTCAAAGCTGAGCAGCCGTGGCGGTCGACCACATTCTTGTCGGCGCCGGCCTCCAGCAGCAAGCGCGCGACCTCGACACGGCCTTGCGCCGATACCCTCATCAAGGCAGTGAAGCCGTCGTTGGCGGCCAAGTTTTTGTCGGCACCCGCCTCCAAAAGCAAGCGCGCCACTTCGACGTTTCCATTCTGAGATGCAAGCATCAGAGCCGTGAAGCCACTGTTCTCGCCCAGGTTTGTGTGGGCACCGCTCTCCAACAGCAAGCGCACGGCTTCGACATGGCCTTGTGAAGATGCGGTCATCAGAGCTGTGCTGCCATTCTTGTCGGCCAGGTTTGTGTCGGCACCGGCCTCCAAGAGACAGCGCACGCCGTCGGCACGGCTTAGTAAACATGCGGACATCAGGGCTGTGAAGCCGTTGCTGTCGGCCAAGTTTTTGTCGGCCCCTGCATCCAGCAGCAGGCGCAAAACTTCGACGTGCGTCGTTGCCAGGTGCAAAGCTGTGTGGCCCCGTGAGTTGACCGCATCCTTGTCGGCACCGGCCTCCAACAGCAAGCGCACGACCTCGACACGGCCTTCAAAAGACGCGCACATCAAGGCTGTGCGGCCGTCGAAGTCGGCCGAGTTCGTGTCGGCACCGGCCTCCAACCTATAGGATGGCCCTTGAAAACCGTCTGAAAAGACATTTCTGAATATGATCCTCTTAAACCCAATCAGGGGAAATCTGAACTATTGCTAGGGCCTACCAAGCAACAGCAAGCGCACGACTTCAACGTGGCCTTTCTCAGATGCGACCGTCAAAGCCTGCCGCTCTCCGACGCCAACCGAATCTGGGTCTTGGGGCAGCTGCATCATGGTCTCGACCTGGTATTTAGGGTTTAGGGTTTAGGGTTTGGGGTTTAGGGTTTATAAGGTTTAGGGCATTTACGATTCTACAAGTCGTGGAGAGAAGCTTTCAGGAGTAGAGGGTCGGGGCTAGCGCAAAGTTGGAGGCCGGCCTGAATCTGACACTCGAGTCGAGAAGCACTAATGGGTTTAGGGCTTAGGGTTCAGGGTTTGGGTTTAGGGATTAGGGTCTAGGGTTTAGTGATAGGGGTCGGAATAATAATTACTAATAGTTTTCTAAGGGTCCCTTTATAAATAGTTCCCTTAGGGTCCCTTTCTAAATGTATACAAATATATTCAATAATAACCCCCAAAACCCTACTGAAATTATTCAGGCCCCTATCTTAAATTATTAATGGTTAACTTAACCTACCAAAGCCCTTTTTCGCAGGGTCTGAAACCTCTACTGAGGCTTGTCTGTACGACTCCGCATAGATTCGGCTACAGCTCTAAACCCTCCCCACTAAAACCTCAGACCCTGAGAACATCCCTCTTCGCCTATTGCAAAGCCCTTAATGGGGTTAGGGTTTATAGGGTTTAAATTAGGGCTACAGAGAAAGCCCTTATAAATGTAGGTAGCGGGGGGCTCTGCTCACTTGTCTACCCCCGTGTCCCGTATTTCGCTAAAACGGAGGGGGGGGGGGGTTTAGGGTTTGCGTCTTCAGGGACTCAAAGTCTCGGGCCTGGGGTTCAGATAGAGCCAGGATCTAGAGGATCTCATAAACTCAATCACGGCTGGTTTCATCTTCTTGGGTGGGGGCGACACTGAAAGTGTTCCCCCAGGGCTCATGGTATGTCGGGTGCCTCGGCAATCCAGCCCTGGCAAGCAGCACCTGGTAGGTCGCTCGCCTGCTGTCGGGAAACGTCGGCGAATGGCACAAGAACGAGGCTAAGGTCCGTCGGGGCGTCCAGCGTGGCAGTATCCTCCAAACCTGGGTCTCTGTCAAGGAGGAAAAAGAGGAAAAGGATCGAGTTCGACAAAAAGAACGCCACATTCATGGGTACAAGGAGGGACTTCTAGAAGGGACCCGTTTTGAGGAAAGGGCACGAAGCGCCACAAGAAGGATACCTAAAATTCACCAAGCAACACTCGCCATGAAGAAGCACCCTCTGCCTAAATCCTTACTTCTCCAATAACCAAAGGGAAAAAGTAAACTTCAATATTCCTGCTAAATAAGGAAACCCAAAACTATACTCCCCTTAGAACCTCAATAAACAAATAAATAATGTTTTATATCCTCTTGGGTTTTACATAAACAAAAATTTCCCAAAGGGAATATAGAAAAAATCTAAAGATCAACTAAAGGCGAACCCTAAACCCTAAACCCTAAACCCTAAACTGAAGGCGAAGTAAGACTCGTGGAGGCAGGCCATGGTACCGATGCAGGTGCCGCTTCAAGCTCCTCACGTCCCGTATCTGCTCAACCTTACTTCTCCAAAAGCCAGTGGCAGAAAGAATAAGGGTTTAGGGTTTAGGGTTTAGGGTTTAGGGTTTAGGGCTTAGGGCTTAGGGCTTAGGGTTTCCTACCATATGAGGAAACCCAAAAAGTTTAAAGTTCAAGTATTGGCCAAGCAAGCAGCAGGTATGCTCGCCACAGCTTCACCGAGCATCCGGACGCGCAACATCTTTTTGCGCTGCCGGGGGCGGCGGCGAAACCGCTAGTGGGCCCTAGTGGGACGCAGCAGACCTCATCGCGTCGCTACGTGCGCCTTCGTAATGAAAGACAGTCCAGAATGGAGCCTGAACCACAACGTGAATCTTCATCTGCAACCCCATGGACGTGACAAACCTTCCCCTGATGTCGCAACAGCTGCTACAATTGCAAGTTGTAGTGGCTCCCCTCTGCCACGGGAGACTTTAAACCTAAACCATCTGAAGCCCTAAACCCGATATAAACCCTAGACTTCCTAACGCCCACCTCGCCCAACCCTCCTTAAACCCTAAATCTAAACCCTAAACCCTAAACCCTAAACCCTAAACCCTAAACCCTAAACCCTAAACCCTAAACCCTAAACCCTAAACCCTAAACCCTAAACCCTAAACCCTAAACCCAGCTGCCTGGCACGCTCAGGGGCGGACGCAGCGACCAGCCAAGAGCGCATCCTTCTGCTGCATTAATATAGGGGCCTTAAATTTTAGAATAGGGTTTAAGGTTTAGGGCCTACGGTTTAGGGTTTAGGGTTTAGGGTCTACTATAGGGGCCTTAACAATTAGAATAGGGTTTCGGGGGTTGTTATAATAGTATATTCATACAGGGGCCATAAGGGAGTACTATTGGGGATTATTCCGACCCCTAGGCGACACACGGCCACGGAATTCACTTAGGGTTGGGTTGACGAGTTCAGAAGGGGGTCGAGGAGGCGTGGAGGGCTTAAGGCTTCAGGGTGTAAAATCTATACTACGCCCTTAAGCCCCTAAACCCCAAAACCCTAAACCCTAAACCCTAAACCCTGAGCGTTGAGGCTTTTTTAAGGCCAGGAGGGCCGCGGCTTGCAGGGCTTTCAGGGGTCTCTGGCTTTAGGGGCCTGATGGGGTGCCGATGTTGCTTTTCTTCTCGGTTTAGGGTATAGGGTTTAGGGTTTAGGGTTTAGTGTTTAGGGTTTAGGGTCTAGGGTTCGCTCAGCCGAACATGGACCAGCCCTAAACCCTAAACCCTAAACCCTAAACCCTAAGCCCTAAAGACAGCGCGGGTCACCTGAAACTGGGTTGGCCCTGACACCAGGTGGAAACTGACACAAAGGACCCAGCCCCTCAAACCCTCAACCCCTCAACCCCTCGACCCCTCAACCCCTCGACCCCTCAACCCCTCAACCCTAAACACTAAACCTCTAAACCCCCGAACCCACAAACCCCAAACCCTATACATCCTAAACCCTAAACCTAAACCCTAAACTCTAAACCCTAAACCCTAAACCCTAAACCCTAAACTTGTAACCTGGATTTCGTGGTAAAGGCTGGGTTTCAAGAACTATTTTTGTTTGTGTTTCTTTGTGTTTTATTGGTCTTTTGCATCTGTGATTTGTCTGCGAATTGCTAGGTGGCGACAATGGATTCTGTGGTAAATCTGTGCTTTTTTTGTGTTTTTAGTGACCTGCTCTCTTTTTGTGGGGGTGGGTGGGGGGAAGGGGCAGGGGAGTCGGACAAGGGGGAGGCACAGATTTTTCGCACGTTTTTCACACTTTTTCTCACACTTTTTCCACACTTTTTTTTCACAGATTTTTCACAGATTCGAACCCCCGTGCAGGCACAGGTACAGAGTTGTTTTCACACATGCCAAGCACAAAAAAAACACACTTAAATCACAAAAATAATTCCTGACATCGGCCCAGTGATTACCACAATTCCAGGGCCAACTCTTAGCCTGAAGTGCCGCAGTGCCAGGGACGCCGGCAGCTTCCAGGGCCTTCCGCAGGGAGGTGTAGGGTTTAGGGTTTAGGGTTTAGGGTTTCGGGTTTAGGGTTTAGGGTTTAGGGTTAGAGTTTAGGGTTTAGGGTTTAGGGGACTTAGGGCTTGGGGTTTGGGGTTGGGGGTTTGGCGTTTAGGCTTGGGGTTTAGGGTTTGGGGTTAAGGATTTCGGGTGTCGGCTTTTATAGGTTTGGGTTTAGAGGGTTTAGAGGGTTTGGAGGGTTTAGTTAGGGGTTTAGAGGTTTAGAGGGTTGAAGGTTAAGTTTAAGATTTAGGGTTCAGTGGGTTAAGAATATAGAGCTTGGAGTTTAGGGCTTCGGATTTCGAGTGTGCAGGTTCAGGGTGGTGGGCTTAGGGTTTAGAGATTAGGAGTCTTGTCCCTACCTGCCCATGTGCCAAGCTGAGTTGAGGGCTTAGGCTTTTCGGGTTGATACATAGGTTAAGGGGTTCGTTTTTAGGCTGTGAGCTCTCACACTTGTAAGTCGGAAAGAAACTTGGCTTAAGTAGTTGTGAGGTAGGGTTACTAAGCAGGATAACCTCAAGTCGCGTCCCTTCTGCGGTTTAGGGCTTCTGGTTCAGAACTCCACTTCGTCCTTAGCTACATACTACTTACCAAGTCGGTTCACGAGTTTCCCACGGAGGACCATAAAAAAAGGGATCTCAATTCTTGCCAAGGCCTTTCGTTCCCCTCCCTCACGGCAAAGCACAGGAGGCCTCTGGAAAAAAATGGTCCCGTTCTGGGTTCCCAAAAAGAAGACAGCGCCCTTCTGATGACTTCATGGCTCTTAGTAGGGAATGAGGGCTAGGCTGCCCAGTACCCTAGGCTTAAAAAGGGTGCCCTTTTTCGCTCAAAGGGGTTTCTAAGGGAACCTAAACCCCCCAAAAAGGGAATAAGGGTACTACTGGGCATCCTAGAGGGAATGAGTCACCCTACGGGATCCCTTACAGGGTAGTATGTACGGGGATATAAGGTACCTGATTCCTTCCTTCCTAAGGACCAGTAGGGTAAGGGTACCCGGAAAGGGATCATGACTTTCACAACTGCCCACATGGAAAAAAACCCGAGATGTTCTGTTCGACAGCTTTGCAGTGTAACGGTGTATCCACTGCAAGGTTTAGGGTAGGGCTTAGGGTTTTCGATTTCTGGTATGCGGCTTTCGTCAGAGGTGTTGGGGGATTCTAATCTGGGTTCAGGCGTTTGAGGGTGGTAGGCTGCAGGCCGTAAGCTAAACGCTAAACTGACTGCACAGGATCTTTCTCCGCAAGCAGCCATCGTGTCTCTCTTAAAAGACTTTTTTACAAGGCTACTGCCCCCAGGGAAGTGCAAGATGCGAGAATTCAAAAGCGGTTTTAGGGTTTAGGGTTCAGGCTTCAGGGATAGAGACGTAGGTAAGTCAACTTTGGTTCCTGCACCAAGGATGTACATACTGGTTCTTCGTCGGGAATGAGGGAGTTAGAGTTTGAGACCCTAACCGAGCCCCCAAAGGGTCACATAGGGGGATGTAAGGTGCTGAAGTCCCTCATTCCCTACGAAGAACCAGTAGGTTCAGGGTTTCAGGTTTCGGGGTATAGGCCCTAAACCCTAAACCCTAAACCCTAAACCCTAAACCCTAATCCCTAAACCCTAAACCCTAAAACGGCTCCTCCTCTTGCGCAAGTTTGCAAGTCCCTTCGGGCAGCTGCCCCTGCGTTGGAGACTCGGTGGAAACTGGCGTCTGCGACTGAAGCTTGGAAATCGTACAGGGTTTAGGGTTTAGGGTTTAGGGTTTAGGGTTTAGGAATTAGGGTTTAGGGTTTAGGGTTCAGGGTTTTAATGTTTAGGGTTTAGGGTTTAGGGTTTGGGGGGCCGGGATGTCACACGAGAGTCACTTCACTTTAGAAGCGTGACTGTGCAGAGGAGTCCCATGCCTTTCCCATGGTGCTAGTTGGCCTCTCGGCCGCAGAGTCGCCCTAAACCCTAAACCCTAAACCCTAAACCCTAAACCCTAAACCCTAAACCCTGAACCCTGAACTCTGAACCCTAAACCCTAAACCCTCCCTAGACCCTAAACCCTAAACCCTACCCCTATCCCCCTATTATTAGACATTTTCGCATAGTGCAGTATAACTATACTGAGGGCATTTGATATTAGGGGGAGGGTCGTGTTGTGTAGGATGTGTGGTGTGCTTCTAGGAACTCCGAACTCCTCCTCGCCGAAGCAACGGGGACAAACAGGCTTCGGCCCTGTTCGCAGGCTGCCCCGCGTGGTGACGCGTGTGGGGTAGCATCTCGGAAGAATCATCCCCTAGAATCAAAACCTAATACTTCATAAAGTAACTATTTCATCCTCTTTTACTATAACCTTGCTCAAGACCCCAAATCTTCTGAACCCCCATTGCTATCACACATCCTGAGCCCTTATAGGGTTTAGGGTTTAGAGTTTAGGGTCTTAGTTTTGTCCTTGAGCAGCCCTTTTGCCTAAAAGCCTCCTAGGAAATCGTAGCCCCTCCGTCGTACGGCGCATGCCGCGCTCTAGAAACAAGGACGACATGCTTACCCTAAAGCCTAAACCCTGAACCAGCCGAGCATTCGTTATAGACTCTACCACCCCCCCCCCCCCCCCTAAAAAAAAAAGGGACTGCAGCCCACTTGAGCCATGGTAGGGGAGGGAAGTCCCTAAACCCTAAACCTGGGGATGTCCGAGAAGAAAAGCTACCTCTGCGACTTGAGTCGGTCCGAATCCGAGACTGGCTCTTGTCCCAGCGCTACCTGGGTCTGGATTTTGGTAGGGCTCAGGAATTTTAGGGTTCAGGGTTTAGGGTTGGGTTATAAGTAAGGCAACCTGTATTATAGGTTAACTAAGGCACAAAAAACCCTGCTTCTAGCCACCCATGAACCTTCAAGTAGGGTCTTCTAGCTACCCATGAACCTTCAAGTAGGGTCTGTAATTCAGGATTCAAGCTTTTGGGTTGAGGGTTTGAGGCTTACGGTCTATGGTTTAGGGCTAAGGTGTTTTGGAGTTGTTGGACGCAGGGATGCACAGACCCCCAAAAACCCTAAAGTCACAAACAACCAAGCCCCCCAACCCATTGAGGGTTTAGGGTTTAGGGCTTAGGTCTTAGGGTTGCCCCAGACCCCAAGCCCCCCAGAACCCCAGACGCCAAACTTCAAAACTCTTATAGGGTAGATACATGGGCCCTTAGTAATTATGGGCCCCCAGAAATGACCCCTTGTATACCC